ACGCACGTGCACCACCACCCACTACGCACGCGCGCGCGGAGCCACAGGTCCGCTACGACACGCGTCCGCGGATAGAGAAAATCAGCGCCATGGTAAGGGATGGGAGGGAGGGGTAGGACGTCAGATATGACGCGAGCGCACCTAGTTTGTCCTCCTCCTCCTCCTCCTCCTCCTCCTCCTCCTCCTCCTCCTCCTCCTCCTCCTCCTCTCCTCCTCCTCCTCCTCCTCCTCCCCCTCCTGCCCCGCCCGGCCGCCAGCCCTGCATGGGGCCCGCTGCGCTCCCGGGCGGCCCGCTCCGCTCGGGCGCCTCGCCCGCCTGCCCGCGGCGGGCGCGGGGCGCCGCGCGCCCGCTGGGCGCGCCCCCCGCGCGGAGCTCATGAGGGCCCCGCGGTGCCCGCGGCGCTCCCCCGCGGAGCCCCCTTCGTTGGTTCACTGGGCGGGGGCGGGGGGAGTGGAGGACCCCTCCCCCCCTGACAGGCCCTGCTGCCAGCTGGATTTTCAGTCAGGCGGCCTAGAGGCATCCATTGCCTCTCTCTTCCTCTCTCTCTCTCCCTCTCTCTCTCTCCCTCTCTCTCGCTCTTTCCTTTAGGTCGGCTTTGAGCTGCGTGCACGGTGGCGTGTTCTGCTCGGCTAAACGTTTAGCTCCGATGGGCTCAGTGCTCCCTCCTTGCTTTGCAGCTTCCTCTTGGGTTGCCCCCAGGTCTCCCGTGGGACGCCGCAGCGTTGAGCTTCTGGAAGAACAACAAGGGGGGCCTCGCTCCTCCCTTCGGGCCCCTTGTTGTAACAGCGTTTCGGTGGCACCCTCCCTCTCCCTCCTGCTCTCTCCCCCTCCCCGCCCAGGCGCCCGGCCTCCCCCCGCTCCACTCCGCCTCCGGGCCCCGTGGGGGCGACCCTCGCGGAGCAGCCCCATGGGCCCGCCGAGGGCCCCCGCGGGCGGGCGGGCGGGGGGGGGGAGCCCCTCCCGATCGTGCTCCCGTCCGCTGGCGTCGTGGGCCTCGCGTCGGACGCCGGGGGCCCCGCCGTCCTGGCCCTCCCGGCGCCTGGGCCCCGCGTCGCCCAGACATGACCCTGGGTCACGATCACGTGTCGACCCCGCCCCCTCCTTTTCGGCGAGACGGACCTCGGGTTGTTAGTAAGAACCCCCCCCCTTTCGGCGGAAGGATAGAACATCTTCCGGCGCAGGGAAGCGTTGTCCCGGCACCCGCCGTCGGTCCTTCTTCTAGATGTCGGTTGCGGGGGGGGGAGGCGGTTATTTTGGGGGGGCTGGTTGGCGCGGTGCTAAAGTTATCGTTCGACTGACCCCCCCTGGAATTTAGTTGTTCATATCGGTGCGGTGCTACGGGTACCCCCATGGGGGGGTTCTCATTTACTGCCTGAGGTTACACGTTGAAGCTCGCTGAGGGGCAGCGAACGCGATTTGTGTTCCTGGGGCGACGGAGGAGGGGGTAATGCTCGTAGGGGAAGAGCAAGCCTCAGCAGCCCAGTCGTCGGTAAGGTCAAACCCGGGATTGAGATTCTTGCGAATGGGGTCGCTAGAGTTGCCGGTGACGGAGCAGGCGCGCTGGCCGAGCGTCTTGGGATCTGGACCTGGGAAATCGTGCTGCTCCCCCCAAGCGACCTCCAAGCCTTACGGCCGGGAACTTCTGGACAGCGTGCCGCGCCGCTGGTCCTGGCCCACCGCGCCTCGGCGCGACACGCTAATCCTCCGCTTCCCGGTCCCCCTGCCCCTCCCCGAGCCTCTCCGAGCCCGGCGCCCCGCGGGGCGGAGCACGCTAGCCCGCTCGCGGAGTGTGCGGGGTGACGCCGCGGCCGCCGCCGCGACGCTCTGAGCAAAAGCTCCTCCTCCTCCACCTCCTCCTCCTCCTCCTCCTCCTCCTCCTCCTCCTCCTCCTCCTCCTCCTCCTCCTCCTCCTCCTCCTCCTCCTCCTCCTCCTCCTCCTCCTCCTCCTCCTCCTCCTCCTCCCTCCTCCTCCTCCTCCTCCTTCTCCTCCTCCTCCTCCTCCTCCTCCTCCTCCTCCTCCTCCTCCTCCTCCTCCTCCTCCTCCTCCTCCTCCTCCTCCTCCTCCTCCTCCTCCTCCTCCTCCCTCCTCCTCCCTCCTCTCCTCCTCCTCCTCCTCCTCCTCCTCCTCCTCCCTCCTCCCTCCTCATCCCTCCCCTCCTCCTCCTCCCTCCTCCCTCCTCCCTCCCCTCCTCCTCCTCCTCCTCCTCCTCCTCCTCCTCCTCCTCCTCTCCTCCTATGATCGCCCCCCTCCCCCTCCCCCCCCTTCGCCTTGGGATTCCAGCAGAAGGATCCCGGCAGGACCAGGTCCCAGCATGACCCCGTCGTGGGGCCCCCATCGCAGGAATCCTTCATCGGAGCACTCCGTGGCGCTAGAGACGTCGCTCGATCGGGGCCCTCCATTAGAGCCCCCCATAGGAGTCCTCCATAGGAGTCCTCCATAGGAGTCCTCCATCGGAGTCCTCCGACGGAGTCCACGGAATATGTAAAACTTCAATATGT